GAATTGCCAGACACTATCTGGTATACTAATAACTTTCCTTAATAAATTTGACATAGACATTTTGATACTTAACGAGACGGGACTAAAGTCTAAACCAGCGGTTCTTAACCTTTTTGGCTGGCGACCCACAATTCAAAAATATTAGAAGCTCGCGACCCGATAAAAAATAAAATCAATTTTCTACATTTTCTTTATTTAAAGTAAGTTAAGCAGTGATTACGGCGCGCTTTTTCAAAAAGTCCCACAAGTCCCGCGACCCATCTCGATATGGCCCGCGACCCAAATTTGGGTCGCGACCCGAGGTTAAGAAACGTTGGTCTAAACTAAAGTTTTAGGTTACAGCCATGCTGATAAAGAACCATATATCGTTCTTTAGATAGCCTCAGGTTTACACTAATAGAATAAGGCTCAATTATGGGTTGTTCTTATGCGGGTTGTATTATCCACCCAATACTTAACCACTTCAGTTGTAGTGATCTCGATAATCTTCTTTACAACAAAAATAAAATTATATTGGCAGGTGACTTTAAAATGTGAAACTGCAACAGGGATAAAAGAGAATGGGGGAACGCTGTGGGGCTATATAATGGATTCAGAGTTCATATTGGCCCACACGGTTCCTACATTACCCTGAAAATGGTTCCACTTTCAAAATGATCGATGTGATGGTTTACAGGGGGAATCAGCAATCTCACAGACGTTGAGGTGATCGATGAAATGGACTCTGACCACATCCCAGTCTCAGCTACTGTTCAGTATAATAAGGATAAACCTCCTACTAGGAAGGTGTACGACTATAAATATACTGACTGGAATGCGTACAGAGCCCAATTAAATCGTTTCACCATAATTGACAACAATATCAATACACCTTCACAAATTAAAAATTAGATGCCCTTGTGACCACAATAAAGCGCGCTAAAACACTTACTTTGAAGCGCATAAGCATAAGCAACCCAAAGACCAGTTGCCTGCCGATATAGTTGACTTAATAAAAACCAAGAATAAGCATCGCAAACTGTACAATAAACGCAGAAGACAAGAGGATCGAGACCACTAGAACTTGCTAAGAACAACCATCAAATACATAGAGAATTATAGAGCATGGCGGAAATTCCTACAGTCCTTAAGTCCTAAAGATAAGTCTCTGTGGAAAGCAACCAAAAGGCTGAAAGGTGGTCAACAAGCACCGATTCTGACACTGACAGTAAAAGACAATACAATAATACAATGGACAAAGCTAATGTTCTAGGCCGTCACTTTGAATTTATGCACACTACATGCATTTCTTCGCCGATGTACGATATTATTTGCTGACAATCTCAATTCAAGCCTGCCATACGACATTTCAGCAAGATATCTTTCTAAACTATTGGCCTCGCCAATAGAGATTCGAAATATTATACGCAAGCTACCCAATAACAAAGCCCTAGGACCTGACACTGTGGACAACATATTGCTGAAAATCCTACCACGTAAGTCGATCGTTCAGTTTGCATATATTTTTAACGCCATCATTAAAAAGCAGCATTATCCAAGTCAGTGGAAGGAAACTTTTATAGTTCCTATACCTAAGCCTGGAAAAGACGCCACTCTAACCAACAGCTATAGGCCTAATATTCTGCTGAACTCTCTGTCTAAGGTAGCCCAAAGGTTTATTACTGGACAGAGTTAATAGGCTGGACAAAAGGCGAAAGCTAACGCCACCCAAGCATGCTCGAGCAGTTTGGCTTTCGACCCGGACATAGTTCCGTCCACCAAACCTCCACGACGTCATGCAGGGGTATAACAGTCCACTGTTATGCTAATGCTTGACATGGAAAAGATATTTGATACTGTTTGGACGGACGGACTAGTCCACAAGTCACACCTTTTAGGTCTACCGCCTCACTTTACCAAACTGCTCAATTCATAATATGAATTGAGCAGTTTGGTAAAGTGAGGCGCACATATTATGTGCGTAACAAATGTTTCCAGGTGAGGGTCTAAGGAACCTGCTCAGAAGCCTTCGTTGTAAAAGCTGGTGTCCCACAAGGCTCCGGAACTGTTCACGCTGTATACTAGTGTTTTACCACATTTCAAGAAATGTAAATTAGCTCTATATGCCGACGATACTGCGCTTTATGCCCACTTCTTTGCGTCGTCGGTAGCTAATGACCAGGTCAAGATTTACCTTAATATGCTTAAAGCCTACTGGGACAGGGGGCTTATTAAGGTGAATCCAGCTAAATCGAAGCTGATTAATTTTTCTCGAAAATGTACAAACATTGGTATATTTAGCAACGTACAGATCGACAGGCGCGCCAAAGTCGCAAAATATTCAGGCGTTTATCTAGATTAACGCCTAAATTGGGTTCGCCAGCTGAATAATATTAAAAGCGATTTATCCGCTCACCATAGGCTCGTGCCCGATCCACTGACAAAAAAATGCTGCTTTATAAGTTGCTTTTAAGTCCAATAATCACCTACGCCGCCCAAGCGTAGTGTGACATCTCTGACACTAGATACGTTTATTCAGATTGAACGATTGCAGACTAAAATACCAAGAACAATTACATGTTTGCCTCGATACACTCGTATCGAGGATAAACAAAATTCAGCAATGTGTTGTCCGCTCAAACAACACATACTCGACATTTCTAACGACTTTTACACTTACAACATCAAAAAATCACCATTAACCAACATTACAAGAATTAGGCACAGCGACAACCTAGGGCTGAAGCACGGCCTTATCTACAAACAGCTTCCTATTTTTCACGAGGATTTAATGCCTCCGTGATTTTTGCCTAAAAACCGTAAAAAAATAATTTTTGACGCCTTTTAACATCATTAATTAATCATCGCGGATATTATTTTAAAATATCCGCTTCATGTTATATAGGCCACCTAAGTACCTATGCCTATACCAAAACAATTTTTATTGACAATTGAGTGTTTTTGGCTGCCGCTTCCTAACGTAGTGAAAGTACGGACGGTATACCTTTATCTTCTGATAAAGGTGTGGCGACTGAGTTTCCGCCTTTGGCAGCGATGGCCAAAAATGCTCAATCACCGAAAAAAGACGACAACTGACGAACTTAATCCTCTAAACAACAAAAGTTTAGGGCTAAACTACCCCCATCTCCAGACACAAGGTTTTTTACTTTATTTTTCCTTGGATTCAACACCCACCTCGTTTGCTGTATTTTAAACACCGGTAACACCGAGCAAACTTCTAACCAAGAAAAGGCAGAGGCTATTGCCAGGTGTCATGACATAACCAACAACGACACTGCAAACCTAACTTCTGAACAACCAGACATCAGGGGCACAGTGACTCGTTTCAAAGCTGACAATATAGACCAAAATCCCGACAGTAGATTACTAACAAGCCCCAGCAAACTTAAACACATCATAAGTAAACGTCCAACAACAAAGCACCTGCGCAAGATGGTCTGGACAACATTTTATTCAAAAACATGCCGAGAAAGGCGCTAGTTGAGCAAAAAAATATAATAAATGCGTGCATAATCAAATCCTACTTCCCGGCAGCATGGAAACATACTGCCATAGTACCCATCCATAAACCCGGCAAGGATTCTTCCCCCCAACCAGCTACCTTCCAATTAGTCTAGTAAGCAACCTGTCTAAGGTTGCCGAACGCAATATACTACCTATCATCAATAAACTTGAAAAAGCCTCCCGAGCAATTTGGATTCCGTCCTAGCCTAAGCCAGTTTATCAAGCCGTGCGAATCGCCCATAACATCAAGCAGGCCTATCACAGTGGAAAGAGCACTGTTATGGCCCTCCTTGACGTCAAAAAGGCATTCGATACAATCTGGCTGAACGGACTCACTGCTAAGCTAATTTCATTTAATTTCCCAAACCAAATTGTTAAACTGATCCACTTATTCTTGCCTGGCAGGACCTTCTAGGTCTGTCAACCAGACTAAATCCCAACCTTATAGAATCCGAGCGGGTGTCCCTCAAGGCACCGTCCTAGCCCCTAAGCTATATACACTGTATACAGCCGATATCCATACACGTAAAATATATTTTAACACGTTTCTAAAATATTAGGCCAAGTGGAAAATAAATATCAACCACAGTAAAAGTGAACTGGTTAATTTATCGGTGAAATACACTAACAACAAAATATTCTCACCAATAACGCTAAATAACCAAGCCATCTTGCCCACACAGCCAAATATCTTGGCATCATATTTGACAGCAGGTTGTCTTTCGCTCTGCATGTTAAATCAATTAAGCAAAAGGCGTACAACGTTAAGTCAATTTACGCGCTATTTAATAAAAATAGCCCGCTATCGCTGCACAATAAATTGATTTTATATAAGACGCTCATCAAACTTGTAATAACCTATGCTTGCCCAGTCTGGTGCTCAGCATCAAATACGCAACTAGTCCAATTAGAGCGCATTCAAAATAAATTCCTGCGCCATCTCACCGGCAGCAGAAGGTACAAGACCGTTGACAACCTGCACCAAATTGCTGATATAGAAATGATCAAGGACTACATTTACCGAAAAGCAAACAACTTTTACACGCACAAAACCAACAAAGCCCGCTCACCAGTGGCATTACCAGCATAAGACATTTAGACAATATTTTGTAAGTACTTACAAGCATAAAAGCATCGCCTAATTTATGTTAAGTTACCCATCTTTTACACCCCAAACCAAAATCCAGTCGACGCACCTTTTTGACTTTGAAGAGCATACTGCTCCTATATAAGCGCACTTTTTCGGCTGTCGCTACCTGACGTGAGGATTTCAGTCGCCATACCTTTATCTTGGGGATAAGGGCCATAATTTAGGCCCAAAGATTTGCTGAACACCCACGCGGGCCTCGCGGGCCGCCACTAACTGACGTTAGGATTCCAGCCGCCATACCTTTATTTTAAGATAAAGATGTGGTGACTGAGGCGATGCCTCACAGATTGGCGTCTGGCGAGATATGCGCGGTTAAAAATGGGCTTCTAGCCCAAGACATAACACGCTAGAATATTACACGCAGACAGGCGACCTCCCTAGGCCGCTGTGCCACAGCTGTGGCCGCTAGGACTCCAGTCGCCACACCTTTGTTTTCAGTGAGTGCATGGTGGCTGGGGCAATGCGACGTACCGCGCGCCAACGGGCGGGCGGCTCGGTGCGCTGGCTGGATGGCCGCTGACGGGGAGCCAGACTCGCAGCGCGATGCACTGGGGCCGCTGTACAGCACTGTGCTCCGAGCACTGTGCTCGTGGTGGGCGAGGCGGCCAGGCATCCGCCGCGGCGTGGTGCGCCAAACACACTAACAACACAAAAAACCAAAATGGGTAATTTACCAAACAAATTAAATCAAATGTCTAAATTTTTCCTGGATCGTCAAGCAAAACCTACAAACAAATAAACCCCTAAAAATGTACTTACAATTCCTATTCTACATCGTACAGCCCAAACCCTCTTAATAACTTAGTTAAGGAAATGGCGAAACTTCCGAAATTTTAAAACATTCAGGCAATACAGGACGTGACTAAGAACGTCAGGTACTGGTAACACCGTCGTGTCCCTGGACCAGCTATATACAATTCACAAGTCATCGACAATATTCTGTTTTGTTTAAAGATTTGCTATTTTTGTATTGTTTTTATATGTATAATAATCTGTGATATGTATATATTGAAATAAGTGTTTTTGGATTGGATTTGTTTCTATATGTAGAGAGTTGAGCTGATCTGCTCGGTATCTAATATGGCTGGCTAATCGCCCGCTAAAATTCAAATACCTAAAAACAGTCATCCCATAGGATCCACATCGTATGGAGACGATCATATGATCAAAATTATCTCAAGACTATCTTCTCGTTTTATTCAAGTGAAATCGTCTGCAGATAATCAAAATCGTCTGGTAACAGATAATTGTTTTGCAGACAATCGTCTTTGAACGAATTTTCTTCTGAAAATCTTCAAAAGATTTTTACATATGGGCAAGCCGTCCCGGACGTATAATAACTTATTATTATTATATTATAAAGCGGTGATACGTGAAACTTTTTATTTGTTTGTATTCAAGCAGGGAGGGATAGAGAAATTTTTAATTATGAAGGTTTTGCATAAAATATAATAACAGGTGTAGACTTGAAGGGTGTTGTATTTGGAACTAATAATAATTATAATCTTAACAGTTTTCTTTTATTCATTTTAGTAAGTTAGCTAGCCATTTCGTTCTTAAATATAAGTGGTTTCTTAGTTTTTAGCTAGTAGGATATTAACCGGTGTTGTTTTTATGTATCCTATAAGCTTAGAGCTTGATGTTATATTCTTGTTGGGTTAAAAAATGTTGGTTGAAAAAAAGGGGACTGGAAAGGTCCGAAAAGGCTTTATACATTTAAAGTTTTCCATTGTGTGCGGCATAAACTTCGTAAGATGTTCACCCTCTTGGATTCCTTTGAACATGATGTTTGTTGTATTTAAGTTTGCAAGATGTCCGGTTTTCAACCGGTCTGGCCGGTTAAGGAAATCTTGTTAAATTGGCACACTTCAAAATTCAGGCATTCGCCATTTTTAAAACATGTGCGGTTTTTTAACACATCTGGACCATGTTTTAGTAGGAAGAAATACAGTTATATATAACCCTATAGGGTAACCAGATGATCTGGTTACCCTATAAGTGTATATCTTCCTACTTAAATAAAACATGGTATACCTCCTGAGATTGTTAGTAGACTATATTTTAAGTAGAAAAAGTTACAACTCTACAATTATAGGGTATACAGATGTGTTGGATCCCAAGTTTATTGTTTGTCAGATTATTTTAATAATGTTTAACGAGAGTGGATTGCGTTTTTTTTAAATGCATACCAAAACTTTTCAAAAAAAAGAATAATCATAAATAAACTACGACAGTTTTATCATTGAAAAATAAGTTTTTAAGTCTCTCTCTCTATATATATATAACACTAGAAGTCAAATTATTATTCAACTCGGTACAAAAATAGAGCTAAAATGTCATAATGTCAGTTGAACCTAACCTAAAAATGAAATGAGAGAATCTTAAGAAATTATTAAATGAAATATACTGCATCGCCTATCGCCTTGGCAGTAAAATGTATGCTCGGCGATAAATAGTCCGATTATAAAGCTCGCGGTTCAGTATTTTTATTTATTACAAAAAAAATCATTGTAATAATTGTTATGATTAGAAATGTATCTAAAATTAATCAGAAAATATCCATTAAGTTGAAATATAATATATATTTAAATAAAATATACAAAATGAACTTTATTTAATGAGGTCTTCTGAATTGGCCTGAATTAAAGTCGTCAATTACTTTGGACACTTACAAGTAAAAAAATCCTAGGAAGTTACCGAAAAGTAAGGGAAAAAAAGCAGCAACTTTATTGAAAATAGTCAAAATACACTTCGCGTCAAAATTAACGCATAACAAGTAAAAAAATACAACTCCTTTACCTACCAATTTATGAAATTTTGGATAAAAATACTTTAACTTATATCTCAGTTTGCTTGTTTAAGGGTTTTTATAGAAAATATCCTTAAAGCCCTTTTATTTAATGATAAAAAACGGTAAAAAAAAACTTTTATAGGAAAATTTTGTTTTAAGTACATAAAAAATATGCTGTGAAAGACCTATTTTTTTTAGTAAACCCTGAAAATGTTGTACAAATCAAACGAACAGTAACGAGAATACAGCAAAATAATCAAAAAGGGGCCATTTTTACCGACTTTAAAGCGTACAGTACAAAATTTTTAGGGTATACTAACAAAAATACGGTCTTTAACAGCATATTTTTTATTTACCTAAAAAAAAATCCCTAAAGTTATTTTTCGTACGTTTTTTTATTATTAAAAAAAGGGCTTTAAAAATATTTTTTCGAAAAACCATCGGACACGTAAACTGAGATAGAAGTATTTTTATACAAAATTTCATAAAGATTGGCGTTTTAGAGTTAGAATTTTTTTACTTATTATGCGTTAATTTTGAAGCGTGTATTAAACATGTTTCAAAATTCAAAAAATTTATAAAAATGTACAAAAATAGTACCTATGTACCACCAAAGTACTAAATGTACCAAAAAGGTACAACACTGTGTTCGTGACTTATCTGTTCCCGAACTGTAGAAAGTAAATTAGTCGCGAACAAATCTTTTTTAACGAATCATTTTAAAAGAATAAATTAAAAGAATTGATTCTTTAAATAGAATCGAACTTCCCACCTCTAAATCAAAGCAAATCTACAAGGTTGTCAAGTGGTGAAATGATACAGAAAGTTAGAGGGGGGGAATATAGGTGGACAATTGACCGTTTTGATTTAATTGTTTTAAACATTTCTAATGCACGCTCATGGCTAGTGATGGGCGTTCCGGGTTACTCTTTTGAACCGGATCACTAGATCTGGATCATATAAGTGAACCGGTTCAACGAACCGGTTCAAAAGAACCGTTTGAATCTCAGACTAATTAAAAATAACACTTAATGAAATCATTCGGAGCACATAAACTTTAAGTTTATGTTAAAAATGTTTATCACTTTAATACTTAAGAGCCTTTATTAAATTATAAGGCAATACAAATTGTTATTTTAATAATATTATAAAGGCTATTAAATATTACATTGTATTTTATTAAAGTTTTTTTATACCATACTATTTATTTTATTAAAATTTTATAAAACACTAAAAACTCTATTATTTTAATATTTTACATGAAAAGTTATATTTAAAACATAAATGTTGTAAGTTTACACAATTTAAATTAATTAATATTAAAAATATATTTTAAACGACATTGTCATAAGGGAAATCATCTCATATTTCTGTGGGTTTGTAAAAAATTACCAAAAGTATAAATTTGCCTAACGTAGTAACGCGCCACAGAACGCAAGAAGTTCGGTTCCGAACGATGCGACCGGCATAGGCACTAGCGAGCTGCATGATACAACAGTCATGATCGAGCCGCGCCTAGAGAATCGAGATGTTTTGGTCAGATCTGGAGCGCGAGTCGTTCTTAGCTCCAGGGAGCCGGTTCAGATCTCTCGCGACCCGCCGCTCACGGCTCGAGCGGCTCGCCATCCGCGGCCTGTTCAATGCACTGCAGCAGCATAGCGAGTTACTCGCTGCGAGTGGTGAAGCAGTGAATCGGAGCTTAGAACGGCTTGCGCGCGGCCGCTTTGTAATTTCGGACCCGTGAGCCGGTTCGTTTAATTTTCGTGAACCGGTTCACGTAGATCACTTATAAGACCCGGTTCACTGAGCCGGTTCAGAACTGACCGACACATCTCTACTCATGGCCGAGAGGAATCAAGTTTGTTAACCAATATGTTTAACGATGGTTGTTTATCTCACTTGTTCGTACGTTTCATATTGCATGTGTCTTTTACTAAACGGACTAATGGCGTATTACCACCACTGGTATTATTTTGTTGAATAAAAACTGTTTTTGCGAAATCTGCACTGATCCACAGTATTTTATACACAAGTTGTAATATAAAGGTTGAAAGAAAATTAAATGTGGATTCGCAACTAAAAACTATGTTTTTTTGTTAGATTAAAAACTTAAAAAAAATGTTTTTTGTTTAATAACTTTTGAACACCAAAAATAAGAGGCATTTGTAGGTTACTCAATGGCGTACATACGGATATTGGCGTAGGGTTATATAAAGAGAAAATGGAGATTTTTTTTTAATTTGCTTTTCTTTGCATATCTTTCCGTTTTCCGTTAATTAACCTTTTGGAAATATCAGTTTTTCTCACACAGGTAAATAAAGGAAACAGGGATATAATTGTGCCTGGATCATGGCATATGTAGAGGAAGTGAGGGTATTTTGGAATAGTAGTTTAAAAAAAAATAGCAAAAAATTTAAATTTAAATTATTTCAATTAAAATAAATAACATGTCCAAGATCTACATTTGTACTATGCCATACGAAAATTTTAAACTATTTAAAATACTTTAAAAGGATTTTTTCACTAATAAAAAAAAAAGTGTAAAAAATCTCTGTTTACGTAACATGAAGTTAATTTGGAATACCACCAATTTGGAATATTTTAAAGTAGCAGCAAATGTTTTATATTAAAAAGGTTAATAAAACATTTTAAAAAGGTAACCAAATATTAATTAAAAGAGAAAATTGGATTGATTATCAAATATTACAAAAAATGAATATAATTTGGAATATTTAAAATTTGCATTATTTATAGTATTCCAAATTAGCAATATAAAGACCTACGCCATAATATGTAAAAAAAAGTAAATGCTTTAACATATCGAAAAAGTACAATTAACAACTAAAAATATAACCCTTTACTTACCTGAGGATACAATTTAAGTTAATTTAAAGATACAAATCGAAGCTATGATTGCCGATTTAATTACCACTAAAAAAGTTTTACTTACCCCACAAATAATTTTTCACATGTGTTGGCCCTCTACCATAAATCAAAATATCTACAAAATCACATGTCCACAAAATACAGGCTATTCTAGTAGTTTATTTCATATTTAACGAGATGGCGCTAAGCATAGCCTTAATATTTAAGTATTCCAAATTACCAACAGTATTCCGAATTACCCCCACTTCCTCTACTCGATTAAGTATTTTCTAATAAAATGGTTAAATATGCAATAAAAAAGCATTATTACATAAAACACTAGTTACAATTTCATTTTATTATCTTCTAGTGTTTGATAGTTAATAACAAAAATAGTCATTTAAAAAAATATTATTATATTATAAACAAAAAACAATACATTTGATCACTAAGCTGTAAATTTATTTAAATATATTTACCCTGAAGTTGTTGTAAATTAGTTGTTAATTTTAATAAAGCAAAAAAAAAAACAAAATAAATTAACTAATCAAAACTTTTTAAAACATAACATTTTTTGTTTTAGGTGATCGACTATTGGATATACCTTGTAAAGTATGTGGTGACCGAAGTTCCGGAAAGCATTATGGAATTTATAGTTGTGATGGTAATTTAGCATATTTTATACTGTAGTTTTATTTAAAAAAAAAAACATTTTTTTATGAAGGTTGTTCGGGATTTTTTAAAAGAAGCATACATAGAAACCGGGTGTATACATGCAAAGCTACTGGAGACTTAAAAGGAAAATGCCCTGTTGATAAAACGCACAGAAATCAATGTAGAGCATGTCGACTATCGAAATGTTTTTTAGCAAGTATGAACAAAGAAGGTATGAAAAATGTGTCGGTGTTATTTTTTGATAAAACGGATAATTACGATAACATTAAAATATATTTTTAAATTAAAACTGAGCGACAGAAGTACGAGATATTAAAGTAAGTTCTTAATTATATTAATTAATATATAAAACATTTGACTTAAGGAGGTTCGGGCACAATATTATTCGCAAAGAGAAGATGTTGAAAAAATTTTAGGTAGTAGTAGAACGAGAAAAAAACATTGAATTCTATTGCCATGTTATAAAAATTAGCGTTATTTAAATACATTTCCTACACAGCACATGTCTTTAATTAATGCATATCTTATAACGTGACATTGCAAAATTAATGATTTTTTATTGTACGTACTTGTCTGTTTAAAGTGCAAAATACATTTTTGTTGAGTTTCACAAACAGTTTTTCAATAATAAACGATAATGTTTCCAACCAAAATTATCAATCTGTCATTCTCGTCTAGAAAATCTAGCAACACTGGATTAAAAACAGGTGATTATCTTGATTTATTTGGACTACCATAATTTCAATTTTTAAGTAAATTATTAAGAAAAACACAGTTGTATTAAGTTATTTATTGTTCGTAAAGAATTAGACAACCCTATGGTTTTCTTCCTTTTGTTTTCTTCTTTTCTTCTTAGATTTTCGCTGCTTCAACATACTGCACCTTTTCTGTTGCTTTAGTTTTTGTTCTCATACCTTTTTTTAATAATTATTCTTTGTGGTGGACTTTATTCCTTTTCACAACTCATTTTACATTTTAAATAACACTGCATATAGAACTGTCACTGCCACTGTCAAAAGCGGAAAGCGTTACCATAGAAACTAACTATCAAAAACTCGCAATGTTGTCACGATCCTATTTTTTTCGGTTTTTAATTCACGTTCTTGTGTTACAATATATACCTATTACCATTACCATGATTTGGTTGGGTTTTATTTCATTTTAAACAACAAACCTCTAAAAAACACCCTTTACAAAAGGCACTATATATATATATATAAATGTGTGTATTGTTTAAAATGAAATAAAACACAACCAAATCATGGTAATGGCCATAAAAATCGCTTTATTGCAAAGATAATTATATGTTAATATTGTTTACATATGATTTCGGGCATATGTGCGCCGCAGATGGCTCGAATAAAACCCAATCTGGATGTCCAATTTTGGACCACTTTTTCGAGCAGCTGAGGCCATATATTAACTCTACGAATCTTGTCTTCCAAGTGGTCCAATATGGTTTGGTTTATTGGCGTAGACCAGCGACTTTACATACCCCCATAGAAAAGAATCCCAAGGCGTGCGATGACAGGATCGGGGAGGCCAATCCACAGGATCATTACGCGAACTTATACCCTCATCGAAAGTTTCGTGTAATAATCTTATTGTGTCGTGAGATGTGTTGCATGTAGCGCCGTCCTTTTAAAACCAAAGCAGTTGCACATTAACGCCATTTGGCTTGGGGAAAAAAAGTCAATAATCATGGACCTATAGCGCTTTCATTGACAGTAACGTTTTGACCGGTATCGACTTTTAAAAAAAATGGGCCAATTATTTCACCAGCTCATAAAGCAACCGTGACTTTTCGTGGATGTAATGGTGTCTCAATAATGGCTCCAGGTTGGTCCAAAATTGGACATTGGACGTTTTATTCGAGCCGCACATATGCCCGAAATCATATTTAAACAATTAATAAATTTAAACGATTTTTATGGCCATTACCAGGATTTTATTATGTTTTATTTCATTTTAAAAATCAAATCTCTAAAAAACACCCTTTATTAAAATAAAAAATAATTATAAAATCAGTAAAAACATTAAATATTCAATCAAAGAGCTTTTGGCATTATTATTCAATAAATGTATTAAGGAAGGAGTATTCACAGAGGAGTTGAAGAATGCAAAAAAAGGCCATTCTTAAAAAGGAGATACAAATTGTTGCTCTAACTATAGACCAATCTCAATTTTACCGCCCATTTCAAAAATATTCGAAATCATCATAAAAAATAGAGAAAAACCACCTGTCACAAACAAGTGAACTATTACTGCTTTACTGGAGGTCTTAGAAAATATTTATGAAGAAGTAAACAAAAAATATGTTATAAAAATGGCACCATGTGACATCAGTTAGGCTTTTACCATATCACACAAAATTAAACTTCTATCGAGTAAAAGGAGTCCCTGCTAAGTTAATAAAATCATATATGGAAAATCGAAAACATGCGGTAGAATGGAAATGAGAATTTTCTCAGAAAACTTCAATAAATTGTGGAGTTCCACAAGGTTCAGTACTCGGACCAGTCCTTTTCATCATTTACCTCAATGACCTTGTGTGCAGACGACACATCCTTTTTAATAAAAGCAAAAACCAACTTAGAAGCTGACAAAAAAATTAAATTAACTACTCGAACAATCAAGGGAATGGTTTAAAACAAATAAATTAAAAATAAACAAGGAAAAAACAAAAAAGCTCACCTTTGGTGTAGGTGTAGAGGAAAAATTTAGTTTATTTGAAAACTAATTTGTCCTGGAACAATAATACCACCGAAATGAGCAAGAGACTTTCCAGATCCATCTATGTCATAAGAAGACTTAGACAGGTATGCACTCATCAAATGTCAAGAATGGCATATTTTTCTTATTTTCATTCAGTTGCTACCTATGTCATTTTATTCTGGGGAGCAACGTCTAAACTGCAAGAAATATTTATTTTGCAAAAAAAGCAATAAGGGCATTACTTCATATGAGAAAATCTGACAGTTGTTGAAATTCTTTTAAAGACGAAAAAATACTTACCGTCAGTCTATATACGTACGTGCCTTACATATGTAAACAACAATACAAATAAATTTATTAAAAACTGTGATATAGGTACACCAGAGAAATACCAGACATGAAAACAATCTTTTACTTGACAATTATTATAAAACATTGTGTGCGTGAATATACATTGCTTAATCTTTAAATGTATTTAACGTCTATATTTCAAAGTCAAATATTGAGAAAAACCAAAACAGCCCTTTTTTGATGAGTATGAGTATAAGAGACGTATAACCGGCCTCATTGCCTCATCGCTCCCGGGCCCCGCATAGGCATCTGTTTCCTTGCGCCGATTTTCTTTCGCCACCAGCAACGGCACAGCTTCACCCGTGTTTGCTGATTGCGAATGTCCATTGCGTCCACTGTCCCCTAATTAGGGCTCGAGTGCCAAATACCAATAGTTTTAGTAGCCATTACCGGGTTCGCCGAGCCAATGCTATACGCCCAGTAGGGTCATGAAGGAGGTAGGACGGGAGGGATAGATATTTTGGTGTTTAGGGAACAATTAGGCTGACTCAAATCTAAGTACCACGCGGTACCCCCCCTAGACCAGGCAGTTAGTATTACTCCAAACATTTGGGATTACTGTATGGAGTTTGGAAGTTGTTATTTTGCTGCAGAAGCCTACGCCTTGGTCTACGTTTTTGTCGTTATTGTTCATGTCCGTGTCCAAGTAGGATTGTTCCTGCACATATGTCTTTAGTCTCGAGACCGAAAACCATCAATAGATAGTTCAGTAGTTGCAACTACATATCCATGGATATGTAACTTGTAGCCGTTCTTTAAGTTACTGGGTTTCATGCCTTACGCATTTGTTGTTGACAGTTTTATTGTCCTACTCAGCTTTGGTGTACCACCGCGATAGTTCGAATGGAAAGTTTTTTTTTGTTGTTTGGCTTTTTTCTTTATTATTTTATTTTGTTTGGTTAGTATTGTCTTCCTAATGTTTCTATTGTTACTGATGTTTATTGTTTTTTTAAGCAGTTTAAGCAGTGTGCATTTCTTAGGGTTTTAAAGGTATCTGTCGTGTTTAATTTTGCAAATTTTGTGTTAGGCCATGCATATGCTTAAGGATACTTATCAATGTTTGCGGATGGCCTCTTCCCCTCTTGTTTGACTTTTTTTGTTTGTCTAGAAAAAAGCTGAAACTTATCACTTAACTCTTTCTTAACACTTCACTCTTTATTGACCGTTACACTATTTTAGTTTGCACTTTACTTTAGCACTGGTGCGAAAATTTTACATAAGATATGTATCATCTGCGAGTTCCTGTGTCGATATCGATATTCGCTTTAAAAAAGCAACAAGCTTCTAATACAATATTTTCAATATTTTTGACTTTTCTTTAAAGTATGCCAAAATCACTTTTTTACTGAACATGCCACTGGATTTTTTCAAATCACACCATCTCAAGAAACAATTGTACGAAAACTTGAATGCTCTATACCTTTTACCGTTTCTCTTATTCTATGTTCGTCCGTATAGTCTTGTACCCTTTGCCACTTGAACTTGCATTCCTGAAGGGTCCGTATTGACTTTTGCAGGGGGGCTAAATTTTAAAGTTTTTCCATTTAGTACAGTATGTCTGACCACGAAGTTGTAGGTTGAAGACACTGCTATAAAGCATCACGAAGTTTTGCTCAGGTTGTGCAGTCACATGTACTTAAATTTATCCGTAAGCCAAATTTGCTACTTGTCTACCACTTTCCTCCTGATGAACATTATTTATTAAAATCGGAAAACTTTTACCAGACAATATAAGTATATTTACTATTTATGCACAAGTAGCAGAAAAGTAAAAACAACTTGTTGACTAAGGTATAATAATCATTATACTTTGATAGCTAAAGTATTTATAGTAGTATTATAATAACGAAATAATATTTCACAGGGTGTCTACTAAGTGTAAAAAGAGACAACAGCGGCGGTCGTGGTGGAAGCAGGGTTTGCCAGATATGTAGACAAAATGGACATGTTTTAATACCATAAAAAATGGCGAATGCGCCGGGATTAATTGAATCTTTTGTCCGGTTTACCAAGATTTTCTTGACCTGACAGGCATAAATAAAACCGTACAGTCCGGTGGAACATCTGTCAACCCTAGGTGGGAGCCAATTTGTAAAGCGTTTCATGGAAATTTTGTTCAACGGTGACGTTTAACAAAAAGCAACG